TGTTCACTCAGAATGTATGGCTGTAAACAAAAACAAACAAAATTGCCCTTTTGGTCAGTGAGCTCGATGCCTCACTGGGAGATACTTTGAGTTCTTGCCATTAACTATAATTTTATAATTTCGTATAATTTTCTGGTCTTAGTGTGCTCTATAATGTCGTTGCTTAATTTTTCATACAGTGCTTCAAACAAACAAAAAAATTGTGTATTGGAAGTTGAGATTTCACCTTCACTATCCGACGATCCATCATTCGTGTGTTTGAAATAATTTAAAAGCAATATGGAACACGTCACGGGGTCAAAAGTCAATTGATGATACGGTGTGATCATTGTTTTATTAGTTTGTCTGTGTTGAACTGTGCAATATAAAATTTTTTGAATTCGTTACCTAGAAAAGGAATTTGCGAGAGAATTAAAAGCAAGCGTTTTTTTGGGGTAATCAATCATACATTCATTTATTGAACAGAGGGTAAAATTACTTTCTCTAGTGAGATTGGATGTTCAAGTCACCTGACAGATTTGACAAAGTCAACATGACCAATTTGACCGAAGACGTTGCAGAGTGGCCCAGTGACGAAGAGACTCGGTTTATTTTAAAGATTCTCGTGTGCGTTGTCACCCCACTCGTTTCTATCTTCGCCGTCGTGGGAAACATTTTCAGCATTTCAGTTCTGGTCAAACACGGCCTGGGAAAATGCTCCAATATTTTGCTGACTTCCTTGGCGATAGCGGACATCCATTTCTTGGTGGCCTTCAACAGCGCCCCGAAAATAATCTACGAGCAATTTGGAGGGCGAAGATTTGTCGGGTATTCGAGAAACGAAATGGAGTGTCTATTTGTTTTCTTCTGCATTTGTATCGTTTTCGACTACGCGATAGGTCTGGTCGGCTTGACACTCCCAATGCTGATAACGGTAGAGAGGCTGGTCGTGGTGTTCTTTCCACTGAGCTTCAGACGCGTCGTGACGCCCAGGAGAACGTGGTTGGCCGTGATGCTGCTGGTCGCGTATCACCTCTCGGTCATGATCTACTGCGTCTTCTGGCTGGAGCTGCAGATTCAGGACGACGTCGCCACCAACAAGAGTGTCGTCGGTGTCATCAGATTGTCGGCGCTCTTCCACGACAACCCCGGCATCGTCGAGGTCTTAAAAGACACGCTGTTCTACACCACCCTGATCGTACCGCCGTATTTCACCGTCGTCGGCTGCATCACCCTGTCGATAAAACTCAAAATCTCGTCGATCTACCGGAAAAAACTGACCACGTCGAAACCTCCAGCCTTCACCCGGACGACAAAGATTTTACTGGCGGTCTGCGCGGTGTACACTTTCACCACCGTGTTTCAAGGAATACCGCTGTACATCCCTCAGTACGCATCGTACTCTCTCACAGACGAGTCCCCTTCTAACATCAGTCAGATCCTTTATCAGGTGTTCAACATTGCCAGCTGCGTGAACAGCGCCAGCAATTTCATCGTCTACATCGTGATGAACCCCAGATTCAGGGACACATTTAAAACTTTTTTTTCCTTGCGCCTTCAGGCTAAACCAAAACACGGCTAGAGCTTCTATGAATTGTATTCCTCCAGACATGGGATGATGGGGGATGCATCCTGTTCGAATACCAATACAATAATTATATTAACCAATGGTAAATTTAAGAAGAAATATTCTAGTACGGTGTGCAGAATCATTAAAAAAAAAAATAATAAAATTCAAGAACCTTGCAAACAGCCAGCCAGGAGTCGCAATATTTATAGTAGAATTAACAGAAAGAGTTCAACAACTTACAGGTTGTATAAGTTCAGCCTAGGCATTAATGTCCTTTTCGTAGTGTTTCTTATGTTTCTATAAGCGTCCACTTTTGTCCTCGAATGTCATGAAATCCGTCGGCGATCTCTTGATTTTGGGCTGGCCATGGGGGGAAATGCTCAAAGAAATGTACGTTAATTTAACCTGATTGACGTCACAGTTCCTATCATCTCTCGATTTGTTATATCAGATTAACCCTGCCTACGTGTAAATTGTAAAGGTTCTCATGTTTTCTTTTCATTGTGGTAATACACTATTCAAGTAACTGAAAAAAAAATGCAAATACATTTGAGTGTCAATTTCTTTAAAAAAAGAAATCGTGTTTATTTTGTTTTTGTTCAGTACATAGATTGATCCACATTTTTATGTGTCACAGTAACTCAGCATAAAAGCAGTTGGCATATAAAAGAAACGTTAGTTACATAAATGTTGAATAACTAAAGTTGAATCAAGATTTTTTGCGATAATTAATTTCATATATTTTGTAAAGCTAAAAATAGATTTAGGAAACGATGTGAACCTTAAAATAAGTCGAGGAATTAATATTAAGATTTAATGTACACATTTTTGTGATGATTTAATTGACTAAATTAATTAATTTGAATAAAATTAAGATAAAAAAATAGTGATTTGAAAAATCACAGTCAAGGTAAATGAGTTTTGCTCTAAAATGAAAAGATATTAGCAATGTAGGGGAAAAAAGGGGGGCCTGTAAGGTAGGGAGGGATACACCCTGGGTGGCAATTGCTCTCTCTATCTCTCTGTATATTTTTATTATATATATATATATATATACATAAATATATATATATATATATCTATATATATATATATATTTAGGGTTAGCATGATTTGGCCGCACTGTAAAGGTGCTTTTTTTTAGTTGAAAGGGGGTGCCCCAAACGCCACTACCTTGAACAGGCTTCCTACAACATCCGACCAAAGAAAAGAACAACAAAACATTTTACAATTGGCCAGCTGTGTGAACAGCTCTCGTGTCTTGAGGGGGTAGGTGGGGTGGATTAAACCAAACTATCGGTCATCACTGGAAGCAGTCAGTCTGAGGACTCTGGACTGCATCATCGGCCTACTTATTCCTTAACCACTGATTATTTCTCCCCATTTTTTTTTATTTAAAGCTTTGGTTATATTGTATGGAACTTTTGTTAAGCTCGTGAAGAAATCAATCCTGGGTGCTTAGTTGAGTTGGTGTATTATTATTATCAGATGAAACAATCAATTATATTAGCCATAGGTAAATTTAAGAAGAAGTATTCTGATACGGTTCGCAGAATTTATATTGAAAACAAAATTACATTTCAAACAGCCAGCCAGGAGTGGCAATATTTCCTGGCAGAATCAACAATAACAGGTCAACAACTAAAAGGTCGTATCCTGTCAGCTGGTCCACTGTTCCAGTATTAAACAGAAACTCGTCCCTCTCCCACATAGACAGCGACGAGGCCATGACAGGCAATTCAGGCTCATACCAGCAAGAAGCCAGTATAGGAGCTGCTCATTCCTGCCCAAGACAATCAGGGACTGGAACAATCTTTCAAAAGGAACGGTTGAGGCTCAAGCCTTCAAACCCCTAGTGCATGATTTCCTCATCAACACCAGTAACAGAAACATTGCAAATCCCATCTACATGCATAGGAGCCAAAATGATCAATAAATTGATCGTGGGCCCTTAAGATATAGAAGAAGAAGAATATCTGCGCCTGGGGCAAATTCTGAATTTAGGCACCCTTTCTCCCCCCAAAAAAGAAAACTACATATAAATACAAATAGTTTCTATGCAAAAATAAAACGTCAGCTTGGCGCCTTCTGACAATGATACTCTCTAACGATGGCACCCGAGGCATGTGCCTCCTTTGTAAAGCCGGTGTCTCGAAAAGCTGGATGCAGTACAAAAACCAATGTGAACAGTGGAGACTCTTGATATCCGGAATGATAACCCTTAATGGAAATCTACAATAGATGAACCATTTCGTCAAGACAATCAGTCATTGGTAACGTTTTTTCTGTCGACTGGGATGGACGTCTTTACCAGTGGGGTAGGAACGGGCTTTCCGCCCCAAGTGGCACTTTTTTGTGTGGTTATGTGGACGAGTGGCACTTTTTTGTGTGGTTATATGGACGAGTGGCACTTTTTTGTGTAGTTATTTGGACAAGTGACACTTTTTTGAGTAGTTATATGGACGAGTGGCACTTTTTGTGTTGTTATATGGACGAGTGGCACTTTTTTGTGTGGATATATGGACGAGTGGCACTTTTTTGTGTGGATATATGGACGAGTGGCACTTTTTTGTGTGGTCATATGGACGATTGGCCTTTTTTGTGTAATTATCTTGACGAATGCCACTTTTTTGTGTGGTTATATGAAAGAGTAGCACTATCGGCCACCCGCAACGCTATTTCCATGGATGCGGTCATTAAAAAACTTGCTCGCCCTTCCTTAACCGGACGGCACTGACCTTAGTTGCGCCAAGGCGTCTTACTCAGTTATTGGCTGCAGGTGACACCACAACCCATGTCTAATCAGGATGGCATGTGCTTTACATTTATGAAACCGCGTGGAAATCTAAGTAAAAATGACAACAAATTTAGGACTTGGCTTTTTGTGTGTGCATGTGTCTGACACCAAACGTGAAAAATAAACTAACATTGGCTTAAAATTCCCCATCTGATTTTTAAAAAAAATATATATACATTTTTTTATCCCCAGCAGCTCAATATCTCAAAGATATATTTAAATCCAAATACATCCAAAATACAAAGCATGCATAAAACAAATCATATTCCATTCAACTTCCACTTGGAAAGTAGGAACATTGATTTTTGGAAGATGGGCTGAAAATTTTACAGCATGTGTTGTCATCGGCAACGAGTCTATGTGCCATGTTTCAGTTCGATCTGGTGAAGGTAAGTGTGTCAATTAGCCGTCCGAAGATTTTCCTCAAAAAACATGAACGAAATCGAAGTTAATATAAAGTATTTAAAAAGCATGTGTTAGTTGTTTTTTATTTTTTGTATTCTAGTTTTCTTACGCAATAAATGTATTAAAAATAAATGCGCTCTTTAATTGTTACGACAAGAGGCTTTTAACTTTTTATTTAAATCTTATAAAATGCTTAAACTATTTATTTCGGTCTATAACTTTACCGGAGTAAAAATCCAAAGTCGTGGTAACAAATGTGCCAGGCTTGTCCACAGCTCTACAACAGTTCCTAAACAAACGTTTGTAAGTCTCGCGGAAGTTCTTGTTGAGCACGACGTAAACCACAAAATTGCTGGAACTGTTGATGCACACCGCCGTGTTGATCAGCTGATAGAATATTTTGCCGCTGCTGGAGGGATTCTCTTCAGTCAGAGAGTAGGACACTTGCTCAGGAATATACAGAGGTAGGGATAGGATCGTCGAAGAAACTGTGTAGATGAAGCAGACGGCCAGCAGAGTTCTCGTGGTCCGGCTGCACGAGCTGCGTTTCGAAGTCATCTTTTTCCGCATGATTGACGTGACCTTGATCTTGACTGAGATGATCAGACAGCCCAGGGCGGTGAAGAGCGGGGGAATGATCATGGAGGAGTAGATCAGGAAATCTTCAAGGAAAGCAGACGCGTTGCTGTTCTCGTAGAAAAAAACAGATCTTTGTATAATGCCAACGGATGTGTTTTTCGCGGGGTCGAGGTCGTAGTTCAGCTCCAGCCAGAAGCTGGAGTAGACGAAGATCGACAGACCATACACCCCAAGAGTCACAACAGCCAGCCAAGTCCTGCCAGGCGTAACGACGCGATGAAAGTGTAACGGAAGAAAGATGACCACAAGGCGTTCTATAGTTATTAGCATCGGGAGGGTCAGGCCCATCAAACCGAATGAATAGTCTAGGATGGTGAAGACGTTGAAAGCCGTAAATAAAACACGGGTGTCGGTCAGAGAGTATCCGACGTACTCGTGGTTCCAAACCGCCTCGTAGATGATCTTCGGGACGCTGTTGAACGCTATGAGAAACGTGATGTCCGAGAAGGCCAGCGACACGAGCAGGATGTTGGAACACTTCCTCATGCCTTGTTTGATCAGGACGATAATGCTGAAGATGTTGCCGACGACACCGAACACGGAGATGACCGGCGTCACGCCGAACATGAGAATCTTTATGATGATCCGAGCCATCTGATCGTCAAACACTGGTCGGCCCTCGTTTGATTGATCCATCGCGTGTATACAGTCTTTATCGCAATCAAGAGATCGGGTGAGATTTTTAAAGTTTCTATCGCTTCTCCGTAGCAATTTAATATGTGATTGCTTCAAGGGCTTGATTAGAGAAACAATAAATATTGTCATGAATCTAAAAGGCACACAGCGTTATTTTCGACTTAAAATACACGCTTTAGAGAAGACTCTTAAGAAAGAGACTATTTTCTTTTTAAATATTCATTTATTCTATTAGTTTTATACTGATCTCTTTTATTACTTATTCCGATTATTTGTAATTTATGAGTTATAAAGACACATGTCTAAGACGCGGATATGAAGCATATAAATTTAAATCCTTGTGTAAGGATTTTTATCGATATTCCAGTAAAAACTTAATTGACTAATGTACTCGTCATCTCCAATATATCTTTTTTTTTTACTAGTGACTTCTTTTATTAGAACTCATATTAGTCTTGGCGTCCTCTTACAAATATCACTCAGCCATTCCGGGATCCACAAGTCTTATGGATGCATTCAAATAATGGTGGATAAAAAAAGATGACCTTCCTCAGTACGGCTTGACACACACGTACAATTCTTTGCCTAAAACATCAGCCTGATAAACGTTTACTACTACCACTGTAGGCAGTCAGGGAAGAAAACAGATATCAACTATCTTCTTTTTAACTTTTTGAGATAATTACATTGTAAGGGTACTGGGTTTTTGTTGGTTTTTTTAAATTCTTTTTTTTTTAAAGATGTTTGTGAGGGGGGGGGGTGGTGGATTTTGCAATATAATTTTAACCAAAATAATTATATATTTCATATATATAACTAAAAATTAAAATAAACAAACAAATAAAGCTCTTGAAAAAAGATGCTTCTTCGTAATTCTTTTTATATTTTCTTTATACAACGTATAAGTTTCAAAGACAGACATTATTGGCTACCAGGCATATAGTATTTAGTTCATGATACATTAATGTTAGACTACAGCAGACACGTTGTCATCACAATTTTGGCCAAAGCGTTTTGCCGTTAGAGGCTAATTAAACAGGATGTTTCTTAAACTCTTTTAATTAAGACGTTATAGTTTAAAACCATCGAAATGGCTGCCGAGGTCTAGAGTTAGTCATTTATAAAACCGAGTAAGCAATTATGAAGTAAATGTGTATCGTCAACTTTTAAAATTACACTGTCCTTTGACTCCGATAACTGCTGGTTACTCCAGCTTTTTATATCGGTCTGTATTTCTTCTGTTTCTTTACAAATGTCATTGTTTGGAGATTATTCATTCAAACAACAATAGTAGAGATAATCTTACTTTAATGTTTTAAAAAGAAATTCTTCTGTAACTCAGTGAGATCATAATTGAAAAGATAAAAAAAAACACCAAAAAAAAAACCAAGTTTAAGAGAAACAGAAAGAAAGCTCAAAGTTTTCTGGAAGCATACAATCAAAATAATTGATGGGAAAACTGGTGTAAGGCGGACTGTTATTATGTTATCAATGACGACACTATCTCTACCTACCCCCTTTTTCAGTCTTGTCTGAAAGTTTAGACAAAACATGGAATCAAAAGAATTTGAAATGTTTAAAACACGTAGGCCTACTTATAAAGTATTGGATTTCAGATCAAGGACTCGGCTGAGACACCAAGAAGACTTACCAACAATGCTTACATTTACACACGCTTCGCAAGGGTTAGTTCCACACGAGGGGGGTGGGGGTGGGCGTGATATTTTTGTCCGCCCCATCTTTATAAAAGAAGTCTGCTGGTTGCCGAACATGCCCCCCTCTCCATAGATAGAAAAAATTGACACGAGGGGCGGAGCGCCTCCAACCGCACCACATTCCGACGCCACTGCATTTACATATCGTCGCCGTATAAACGTTACATTAGTTTTTTTTTGCAAATTATACTATACATGAGGTACTAAAAACGTCATAAATATTATGTGCAAGCTTGAGTGATACTTCACGTGGCGTACACAGTATAGTGTTGAGGTAGTTCATATTAATGCTCAGTGCAAACAAGAAAACAGTTTTAATGATATTTTCATGGAGAAAATGAACTACCGCGTCATTTGAATCATTTTTTAAAAATCTCTCTCAGGTTTCTAGGCTTTACACTTGTGACTCAAGACCACGACAGACTCGTTACGGTAGACGCCAGCTGTGAGAAGAAAATAGAATGTGAGATGATTGTTAGTTTTGGCAGATTTTGTTTCGAACTTTGCGCACATTTTATACGCATCATCGTGGTTTTAAATGTGGTTTTAAAGTATCCATGCTAGTGACTGTCAATTTAATTATAGTATCCATGCTAGTGAATGTCACTAAATTAAATAATCCATGGTAGTGACTGTCAATACAATTAAAGTATCCATGCTTGTGAATATCAATATAATTATAGTATCCATGCTATTGACTGTCGATATAACTACAGTATCCATGCTTGTGACTGTCAATATAATTAAAGTATCCATGCTAGTGACTGTCAATATAATTAAAGTATCCATGCTAGTGACTGTCAATATAATTAAAGTATCCATGCTAGTGACTGTCAATATAATTAAAGTATCCATGCTAGTGACTGTCAATATAATTAAAATATCCATGCTTGTGAATATCAATATAACTACAGTATCCATGCTTGTGACTGTCAATATAATTAAAGTATCCATGCTAGTGACTGTCAATATAATTAAAGTATCCATGCTAGTGACTGTCAATATAATTAAAATATCCATGCTTGTGACTGTCAATATAATTAAAGTATCCATGCTAGTGACTGTCAATATAATTAAAGTATCCATGCTTGTGACTGTCAATATAATTTAAGTATCCATGCTAGTGACTGAAAATATAATTAAAGTATCCATGCTAGTGACTATCAATATAATTAAAGTATCCATGCTAGTGACTGTCAAAATAATTAAATTATCCATACTAGTGACTGTCAAAATAATTAAATTATCCATACTAGTGACTGTCAAAATAATTAAATTATCCATGCTAGTGACTGTCAAAATAATTAAAGTATCCATGCTAGTGACTGTCTATATAATTAAAGTATCCATGCTAGTGACTGTCAAAATAATTAAATTATCCATACTAGTGACTGTCAAAATAATTAAATTATCCATACTAGTGACTGTCAAAATAATTAAATTATCCATGCTAGTGACTGTCAAAATAATTAAAGTATCCATGCTAGTGACTGTCTATATAATTAAAGTATCCATGCTTGTGACTGTCAATATAATTAAAGTAAATTTGTTTATGATTAGATTATCGTTACTAATGTTTAGTTTTAATATCTGCTTACAAAGTGTTACACAGTTTTAAGAAAAGAAAAAGTTTGGATTAAGTTAGAAGCAATCAGATGATTTAGATCTCAATTAAGATGCGAAAATCCAGCACTGACTTGGACTTCATTTCTTCAATTGTTTAAAAATTAACTTTGTTTATGCCATAAATATTGTTTGGGTAGACCTGGTGGCCTTTGATTCATAAATAATATACATATCCATGTGGCGCTACAACCCATATAGGGATTTGGGCAGCCGCACCACTTCCTCCCCTCAGACCAAAATGATGCTTTTATGCTACAACCCACGTAGGGATTTGGGCAACCTTACCACTTCCTCCACTCAGACCGAACTGATGCTTTTAAGCTACAACCCACGTAGGGATTTGGGCAACCTCACCACTTCCTCCACTCAGACCGAACTGATGCTTTTATGCTACAACCCACGTAGGGATTTGGGCAACCTTACCACTTCCTTCACTCAGACCGAACTGATGCTTTTATGCTACAACCCACGTAGGGATTTGGGCAACCTCACCACTTCCTCCACTCAGACCGGACTGATGCTTTTATGCTACAACCCACGTAGGGATTTGGGCAACCTCACCACTTCCTCCACTCAGACCTAACTGATGCTTTTATGCTACAACCCACGTGGGGATTTGGGCAGCCTCACCACTTCCTCCACTCAGACCTAACTGATGCTTTTATATTTATTTATTTAGGCATTTTTAAAAAGCGCTTACCTAAAAGCTCTAAGCGCTTTACAATTATTAAAAACATATAAACTAACTAAAATAAAAATGAGACATTAGGATAGTAACTACTATACTATAGAAACAATTAAAATGGCTATAAAACGAGGACACTTTGGCTAGGATTCCCAGCTGATGTAGATTTTTTAAAATAAATAATATAGGTTGATTTAATGAAAGAACATTTTTTGATGGATTATTTGTGACCAACGTCATGTATATGGTGAGACTGAAATCAAGTAACAAGTAAGGATACAAAAAAAAAGTCTTATGAATATGAAAGCTGAAAAATTAGAGATTAAAGTCTACTGAGAACAAAACAGTTGTACGTGTCTGACAAGTTTTAGTCAAACAATGCTAGTGGGTGAAAAGCATTTCTATAAATTAAACTAGTACATTATTTGTTTTCTTATAATTAAAGTATAAAGTAAAATTTATAAAGCATTACTATAAAATAAACTAGTATATTATTTGTTTTATTATAAATATATACATTAATTTAATTATTACAATTTAAAAAAAAAAAAGATTAAGACTTATTTGATATGTATAAAGACTTTATTGTTGTGGCTTCACAGATCCAAGGTAATAATATCTTTTATTGACAAATATCTGCATGACAGCATCGCCTTGGTTAGATGCTATTGACAGATGAATCTCGATTCAGCTCCCAGCTTCAGGACAAGTCATCAGCCAATGTATATTTCTTCATTTCATTTAACAGAGCAGGGTCACTGTGCTAAAACATACATGATCTATAGACATTTAAGAGCATACATGTTGTTGTGAAAATAGGACAATCTGGCTTCCAAGGCAGCAAATAACCTCTCTCCAAGCATCCTGTGTAATCCAAGGGAACGTGTGATATAAATAGTTACACTTCCATTTAAGTATAGAGATTAATAATGGAAGTGACAGTTATCAAATGATTCTTTATTTTGTCACCTTTTATTGTTTTTCCATATATTTCCGTTATGTTTCCATAATAACTTTTAAAAAGTGTTTTTTTAAATTGTTATTTTAACCTGCACCATGAAGTAAATCCATAAGACAGTGTCGCAAAATGATTTAATATATGTCTAAAAGTCACGTCACGATTATGACAGCTTTTCACAACTCTGATCTAATGTTATTACCATCACACAATAGACACTCCCATCTGATCTAATGTTATTACCATCACACAATAGACACTCCCATCTGATCTTATGTTATTACTTTCACACAATAGACACTCCCATCTGATCTAATGTTATTACCATCACACAATAGACACTCCCATCTGATCTTATGTTATTACTTTCACACAATAGACACTCCCATCTGATCTAATGTTATTACCATCACACAATAGACACTCCCATCTGATCTTATGTTATTACTTTCACATAATAGACACTCCCATCTGATCATATGTTATTACCATCACACAATAAACACTCCCATCTGATCTTATGTTATTACTTTCACATAATAGACACTCCCATCTGATCTAATGTTATTACCATCACACAATAGACACTCCCATCTGATCTTATGTTATTACTTTCACACAATAGACACTCCCATCTGATCAAATGTCATTGCTATCACACAAAAAAATAGACACTCCCTGTCGGGTAGCCTGAGGTAGCCAACTGTGAGTAAGCTACCATTTTCCTACCGCAAGTTAAACATTTGATAAGCATGCCATATAATGCATGGGGTTGTGGATTTTCATAATACAGGGTCAGTAGGACTAAAGATAAAATATAAATCTTTTTTCAATAGTTAACTTTAACTAAGTTACTGCAGACTGCTTGTTTTATGCCTTCAAAAATGTGAACCTTTCCTCACAAAATAAATTTTAAAAAAAAATAATATAGAATGATTTATAATGCTAAATATTTAGATAATATATCATAAATAAACGATAGAGACATAATGCAGTGTATGTGAGCATACAAATCTAGATCTAAAACAAATTAATCTTTCAAACTGCTGAGGTATCATAGATGGGCCATTAATTCAAATGGTGGGTGCTGGGGGGTCGCCGGCAGGTCCGACGTGAGCCAATCCCCAGCTTGTGGTCTGCAGTTCAATCCTCGGCAAAGGCCAAGACATGCAGAAACTCCCCCCCCCCCAGCACCACCTGATGGGTAGCTTCGTTAACCTGGGATGGCTACTCATCTAAGAAAGAAAGAAAAAACGCTGAATTCAAACCAGGAGATGGAATTCCATAGGCAGGCGTAACATATTGACACAAGGAAAATTCAGGCAACTACTGCACACATGATGATGTTCCCTTGGATTATCCAAATGTGTGGAGAGAGGTGATTTTAGAGGTGATTTTCTGTCCACGGAACTGGCTTCTCGGCCTAAATCAAAAAACAAAACTCAGGAATTTTGATTTCTTACAGGAAGTAGACACTATTTCATTTTGAAGTCTTCCTCTGCTTTTTCCAGGAAGTCTTTTAAACTTTGTTCTATATCGTTTACTTCTCCAAGTTCTGTATCAGAATCACACACGCACTGAAAAAGTCGATGAACATTCTGTTGCAGTCGTGACAACCTTTCTTTAAGCAATCGTTCATTTTCTGTCACCAGTTTCAGGTGTGTGAAAAGATCATCCCAGGTTTCAGTTTGGGTCCCAGATTCAGAAAATGATGTCATTTTTGTCTGAGTAACAATTTCCAAAGAGGCGCCTTTGTGAACAGATCTGTTTAAAATGAAAAAAAGTTGTTAAGTTAAAATTGTTAACAGACCGTCACAAATATAAGAAAAAGAAATTACGAATATCAGTATCAGTTGTAAGGTAGACAATTCATGTCAAGTCTTAGGTAAGGTAGACAATTCATGTCAAGTCTTAAGTAAGGTAGACAATTCATGTCAAGTCTTAGGTAAGGTAGACAATTCATGTCAAGTTTAGGTAAAGATCTGTGGCAACTGTCCTCTTTAATTTAAACCACAAGGAACGTTAATTGCAAGGGTATATTCCATGGTTGAAAATTATATAAATAAAATAAGGTAAAAATTCTAATACAATGTCAGAGAATCTCTTTTTTCAAAATTGAATAAATATAAATATATATATATATATATATATATATATATATATAGATAGAGAGATAGATAGATAGATAAATAGATAGATAGATAGATAGATATATATATATATATATATATATATATATATAATATAGCCTATAAATAAATTTTAGAAAAAGCTCTAGCCTTGATGGTCTAGTCGATCTGATGGTAGAGGCACATGATGGTCTAGTGGATCTGATGGTAGAAGCACCTGATGATCTAGTAGAGCTGACGGTAGCCGTACCTGATGATCTCGTGGAGCTGGCGGCAGTGGTACCTGATGATCTAGTGGATTTGACAGTAGCGGTACCTGATGATCTAGTGGATCTGATGGTAGAAGCACCTGATGATATAATGGAGCTGGCGGCAGCAGTACCTGATAATCTAGTGGAGCTGATGGTAGCCATACCTGATGATCTGGTGGCAGCAGTACCTGATAATCTAGTGGAGCTGATGGTAGCCGTACCTGATGATCTAGTGGAGTTGGCAGCAGCGGTACCTGATGATCTAGTGGAGCTGATGGTAGTAGTACTTGATGATCTATTGGAGCTGATGGTAGTGGTACCTGATGATCTAGTGGAGCTGATGGAAGCAGTACCTGATGATCTAGTGGAGTTGATGACGACAGTACTTGATGATTTAGTGGAGCTGACGGTAGCGGTACCTGATGATCTAGTGGAGCCGACGGTAGGGGTAAGTGATAATTTATTGGGGATGACGGTAGAGGTATCAATAATTTGGGACATCTTGTCAATAGCCTCCTTGAAAAGAAAACCAGTGTTGAAAATGAATAAATATAATTTAAAACAATTTCTTATAATTTTACTATCAATTATAAATTTTCTGACAAGCTTGATAAAGTACTATTGTTTGCTGTGCTTGTCGTATGTTTCATATGTTTTTCCTACTTGATTAATGAAGCAAAGCAATAGCCCCATGAAATGTACCTCAAGCAGGGTTTCCAACTTTTGTTCAAGTCTCTGATTTGGCTTGACCCTCACTTTTTGCTGCTTAGTTTCCTGAAACTCACCAGATGAGCACTGTTTCAAATGAATAAATATAGTTTTAAAAACAATCTTCTTCATTTGCTATCTTTCTGGGTTGTTTTTTTTGTAAACAAGCATATCATCCAAGGATGTTACCCCCCTTTTATATGGGTTATGATAAGAAAAATAAAGACATAATTTTACTTTCACTTCTGATTACTGACTTCCGAGATGTTTGTTTTTCTAAATACTTTTAATGTACAGTGTAGATGCTTAAACTGAACAAGATAAGACAGGTTTTCTAACTTTCGGTACACGTCCGATTCGGCTAAGGACTCACTTTAATCCGTTTTTTTTTGTGACACTCATTAGATGATGAACCTTCTCGTTGGTCTACTTTCCCTGATGGTGCTGAAAGAATTTTAAGCAATTTACGTCTGCCTAGGATTCGATCATTGGCTAATCGAATAACTATGACACTTAAGGAGACATAACAAAAATTTTGTTTTGACCATGAAATATCAAACCAAAAATTACTTTAACCTAATTTGATGCTGCAGATACATTTGTTTAGAAAGAAACTAGCTGCGTATTAAAAATGTATTATTTAACAAAGTTATCATGGTGAATTCAACAGTAAAAGAACAATTCTAAACATTATTTATCCTAGCCTGCAAGAGTTGTTGGAGTGGGTTATAACATCATGAAAGTTATACCGATATGACCAAAAGAATTATTATAATTTCATGATTACCCTTCAAATCCACAGGAGCCACCACATTCTGATTTTTAACAGATTTTTTTCGGGCAGGCGCAAATTTTGATTTGGGCCCAGGCGTGTCCGGCAGTTTGAGGATTCCTCTTTCCTTTAATTTGTTCTGACTGAACTCGAACAAGCTCATGTCTACTTCTAGGCCAGTTCTTTCAATCATCTTTAGTATCCCACTTTTTGACCAAAGTTTTCTTTTGAACAACCTAAAAGTTCAGGAATAGTCACTGTTTCAAGAATCAGTGGTTCTCATTTAAAAAAAAAATAAATGTAGAGTTTTCCTCTGTTTTATTTTGTTTTTAAATGTATAATTATACGCCCTGAAGATTAAATGTACATTCTTAATGAATGCTTGGCTTTATTAACCTCTGTACAAATTTTAATTACATGTCTAGAACGGAAATACCTGTTGTAATAATAGATTTCATATTTGCCAGCTTTCCTGCCATCCATGCGCTGAACTGCCCGAATACTCCAGCCATTGCCAAGATTTTTTATTTCTTTTCTACGCCACATTTGATAAGATAAGAGATGATTAGATGAGATAAGAATCTTTTATAGATCTAAATTAATTGAATTTTTTTTTTAAATTACATTGTACATATTTTTTTCAGCACATAAATAAATAAGTACTTAATTTAAACAAGACAACATTTTAAAATTATAACAATTTAAACACAAGATCTCTAAAGTAATTCTCTTGCATAGAAATCAGACATAAATTAACTCCTTTGGTGACAATAATGACTTAACTAGGGACCATTTAGATTAGGTAACTGCTGGTAATTTCGTAAAGTCTAGGGAAGAAAATAATTTTTATATCTTTCTGTCCAAACTTTAAGGGAAAGAATTCATCTTCATCAAGCTGACATCTGTGATGAAGAGGGTGAAATGTAGCTTTAAATATTTAACTTAGTTTTACAACAGCATTTTTCTTCAAATAGTTCTTCAAAGGAAGGATGTGTTTAACTTGTTTTGATTTTAGCTTTCTGATTAGGGGTAGCTTCAGAAGATGCATGGAAAATTTATCCTTATAGTTTTTGATTGCAAAGTCTTGCTTTTTTACCAGAAAAGATAATTTTTTAAAACAATTTTTTAAACTTAAAAAAACCCACAAAAGCAATCCTTAAAACCTAACAAAGTTAAGATAATACTAGAAAGTATCATTATCTTTTAAAAGGGTATGTTTCTTAGGTTAAAGATACTTACAATTTGTATTTAATTTTTCCATGACCTTTTCTGAGAACTAATGAAACTTCTACATTCTCAGACTCCAGACTTGTAGTAGTAACATTAGCCTCTTGGTTGCCCTGTAAATCTTCATACATCAAATTCTCAGTCTGCATTTCTGTCTAGTCAGTGAGCTCCTCGTGGGATTCAGTTAATTCTGACTGCAATTTAAGGAAGGAGATTGCCTGAAAAAAATAGACACGAGAGCCCTAAGAATTGCATTATGGCACTAAGGGGGCAGTGTCCAGAAAAGTTTCAAAACCACTGGTTAAGAAGAAGCATGTCAAATATTATAATCACCAAGGCCCACCAAGTTTTTAATGCAGATGAAGCAAATCATCAGAATAAAATCATCCGTACCACCTGGTAAAGAACTTAAAACATTTATCTGAACATTTTCTGATAAAAATGATGTCAGCACAGCACCGCTGTTTGAATTGAGGATAATCACTTTACCAGCAGTTGTGTCAAGGGCAATAAACCTACCCTAAGGTCAATGATGATACAAGAACAAGGGTTCTATATCAAGAAATAGAAGAGAAAACTTAAAATTTAATGGTCGCCCCTTTCTAGTGTAATTTCAGCAGGTAATTTAATTGAATTTTATTGTATTCCTCTAGATATGCTGCAAAAAGTGTCAACGACCGACGCTCATTCTCTTCTCTTAATTAAAACACTTATAAAAAAAATGAAAACCCAACTTAAAGTTCATAGAATACACTTTTACACACTTTATTCCAGGTTCCACTGTTTCGTGGTGAATTTATCAACTCTATTGTAACCCTCTGAATATGATGCAATAAGTGTCAATGACCTGCGGTCACGCCCTTCCCTCAACTTACACATGTGTGCTATAAAATTTAACAGAGTTTTCAATCTTGTTTTAAATTTTATAAATGACCCCCGTGTTTCTGGGTTTTATTAATAAACAAAAGAAAAGTTAACTCTATCAACAATCCAAGAATATACAAAAGGGAACTAAATCATCCCAGAGCAAAGCATCAAGCGTACATTGTCCAATTATAGTATCAGAAACTTTCCACCATTGAGCAACTTTTCCTCAGCATGGCCACGAGTATCATATTAGTATTCTGTGCTATGGGGTACAATCACAAAGGAAAAAAAAAAATTTCGGAGAGAAAATATCAAAATGGGTTGGTTTAAAACATATCCGCTTTCACATTATTTGTGGTTGTCATGGTTGGGCTAAGTAACATGGGTTGGAAGATGATACTGTGAATTGAAAAGAAAGAAATTGTTCAGATTTAAAAAATACATTTTAAAAAAATATTTATATTATTGGGTCTGTTTTAATTAGCCCTACTCAGCTTACTGAAATCACGTTTATAAACAACAAACATGATTTGGGAACCAATCCAATTTGAAAAACGTAGGCGGTGACCACAGGCAAGCAAATCTGTTAGGGCATTTTGGAGTGGGTTAATAAGGAGGGCTGTCTAAATACCTTATGAGCTTTCTGAGTGTGCCTAGTGACCACAGGCAAGCAAATCTGTTAGGGCATTTTGGAGTGGGTTAATGAGGGCTGTCTAAATACCTTATGAGCTTTCTGAGTGTGACTACATAGAGTTGCATTAAGAGAGAACAGTTTGTTGTCATGTGACCAGACCAAGATGGCACCAGTGGAGTCACCTATCATGAACTCTCCAGCAGGATAAAAGCAGACTGAAGTAATGAACTTAGGAACATTTTCCTGAAATCATATCTAGACAGTTGTAATTTGACAAACAAACAAAAAAGAATGTGTAGGGCTATGAATACAAATTTTAGGTTTTCAATATCATTGCCACAAAATGAATTTGTAATTAAGACCTAGGCCAATAAAAAATATTGCTTGTTATGCTTAAATAAAAAATAATCCAAATTTTAAAAAGATGAATCACACTAACATGGGAAATATTTTATTCTTGAATTAAAGTAATTTTTATCAAATTCTTATGTAGATTAATAAAAAATTTAACTTTATACCACTCTTGGATATATAATACAACTTTCTTGGTGAGTTATACAAAAATGTTTCAATATAATAGCCTTTTAATAAGGGGGAAGACATGAGAGATATAAGAAGAAATTATGGCATCAAGGCGGATGTGACCAAAAAAAGTTTAAAAATCACTGGTTAAGAAAAAGCATGTCGAGTATTGCAATCTAAACTAGGCCAACCAAGTTTTTAATGCAGTATAAACAAATCATCAGTACCCTGGATGGGATGTGGGGCAATTAATACGGGAACTTTGGAATAGGTATCACATGGGGTGAGAAGGGGATGAATGGCCTAAATTTTATTGATGGTTATAATTCTAGCATTTTACTACTCCCCTTTCATAGGAAGGGGTTGTGGGTCAAAGGTTGCAGGCAGAACATTTGGCTCAGGTCTCAAGAAGCCATAAATTTATACTTGGAGTTATTCATGAAAACACACAAATTTTTGTAAAAAATACTTAGAGCTTAACTGTTTTTCGTCAAATAATTTTAGCATAGTTACATTAAATAAGGCTGATACCAACAAAGTTCTTATACTAACAATATGGTTGACTCTATCTAAAATAGACTTTAAAAATTAATTATAGCAAACTGAGATGGAAACTGTGACAAAATCCAAAACCACCCGGGACACAGGGATAAGGTCCCAAAGCGAGAGGATCCCAGTTATAACAGGACATATGGTAAGCCTAGCCATCAAGCAGTGCTCAAAACATGATTCCCTTAAATGTAGCCTACAGGTCGGAATAATAATAGTTGTAAGGCTCGAAGATTTTTTAGATTGTGCAACTCAGACAATTAATATCATGAAATTTTATCAAACAAGTTTATAATATATTACAATAAACTGCCTATCACATTTCATTAGTAGTGTGGGTACAAGAGATGAATAATAACTTTGTGAATAAAAATGTGTTAAAAGATAATAAAGATGGTGATAAAATCAAAATATTAATTGGAATTTTTTTTTTAAAATAAATAAAATTATCACACCCTATTAAGGTAAAAATAATTTAACTTTAATGGACATTTTTTAAGAACAAAAATTTGTGGTTTTTTTCATTCAAAAGCTTTAATAATCTATTAATTTTAATAGTGAAAATATAAATGTGTACACATTTAACTAAAGAAACTAATGAAAATGTGAATTATGTGAAGAAGTAAATCTTATTAAACTAAAACAATCAATGCTTTTACATTTTGGGGGTAACTTTGATATCACTTTCACTAAAATAACAAAAGCTAATAGAACATGAATCCAGAAGCTTATTTATTAGTTATATTTTATAATCATTTTTCCTAGGTCTACATATTCTGAGAGTAAATTGGACAAGGAATTATTTATATTATGAATTTAAATTTGAAACTTCTCAAGTCTATGAGCTTTACATGATCTTGATTTTGAAAGTGGGTAATCTTGCAGTTCAGGTGCTTATATTATTTCTGATCGAATTTCATATTATCGCGTGTAATCTTATGTGTATTCTTTCATTAAATTAAATCCAGGCAGTGATAGTTAACTAATACTGAATTATACAGCGCTTATTTCCATTTTATTTTATTTCTAAAACATCTTTGAACATCCCCCAACCTTCCATAGCTCCATTTGTTTAGTATTTTTCACTCTGTTTCCAGATTTTTGATCACCTATAAGTTGGTACGCTAAACGGGGGGGGGGGGTTGATTTTTATAAGTTGTTCCTTTATCTTATGGGGGCCCAAATTTTTTTTTCTTCTTTCCATAGCTCCATTTGTTTAGTATTTTTCACTCTGTTTCCAGATTTTTGATCACCTATAAGTTGGTACGCTAAACGGGGGGGGGGGGTTGAACTTAATGAGATGTTCCGTTATCTTATAGGGGCCCAAATTCTTTTTTCTTCTTATATGAATTGTACAAATATAATTCCAAACCAAGGCTCCTGCATGGGCATGGGTGAATTGAATGAGATCAAACTTAGTACACATACACTTGATTATCCATATTCAAAAACCATTATTAAAGTTTAATAAACTCATAATTTTAATTTTTCCTAAAACCAGCCAATATACACGCCAATTTTATATAAATTTATTTTGTGAACATGCTTTTAGTTTGAAAAGTTAAGCATCGACAAATAATTTTGGAATAATTTAATATAAATCTAATTTCTTGTTTTGTTTATTGTAAATATGCTTTCAGTTGAAAAATTGCAATCTGGCATGCAGGGTAAATTTTAAAAAAACAACAAGAATATGGAGAAATAGTTTACGCTACGGCTATTTACCTATTGGGGCTGTAAAAATTAATAAAAAGAAAAGACAGTCCTGTACAATTTAGTGTTAGTTCTAACTAATACTGTCTGGACTAAATTTTATAAAGAATACACGTAGGATTGAATGCGATAGTACAAAATTCAATCAGAAATAATATACGCACCTGAACTGCAAGATTACCTGAAAGTGAGCAGGCCCTAAAAAGATGCTAATACTATTATTATGTCTTAAACTCACACCCACCATAACACATTGTGTCCTTTTATCATCTCATCCTCTAAATATGTTTTTTTAGACACAGGAAATTCAGCAGACAATATTCGTTCTGCTTACTCAGTCTTTGTTAGAAAATATTAGAATTTTATAATAAAGTTTGGTAAATGCAGACAATTGGTGCCTAAAGTTTTTTTAATGATAAATATTATTACCATGCCATTAATTTAATGCCATTATTAGTAAATTCATTAGTATTAATAGCCAATACTATTCTCGATTCATTAACTAATAGACCTCTACCGACTCAGCCGACTGACTAGACTAGTGTCAAAAGTATAATACAGTAGTCAGTAGAACTGAATAATATAGTAATTGATTGATATGAATATTGTCGGCATTTTCAGGTACTTACGACTTTAGGAAGGCCAACAGCCAACAATAATCAAAGTAATCAATTAGGCTTTTTTTTGAAGGGCCAACAAATCCTTTAAGAATTTTTGACAAAATATTTCAAAATTTTAAGTCAAGCTCGGTATCTTTATTTTTAAATGACAGTAGCAGAAACTAGTTTACTAGAGTAGCCCCCCTTTAATCGATTAAATTTTTTATTCGCATTTTAAAAAATAATTTCAGATATATTATTTTTTTAAAATTATTATTGTTCCTCTTTCGCACAGGAAAAAGGCCATTGTAATATTCGATTCGAGTATTTGCCTTGGCGTACGTTGTATTTTGTTTAAAGTGAGAGAGACTTGCTAAATTCATCACTCTCTCGTCCTTGCCTATTTGATCCAGGTCCAGTGGCGAGAAATCCGAGCCGACTGCATTAATTTCATAAAATCGTTCAAGAGTTTTTTATCCAACGTATTGATCAGAAATTTAGACAAATGACAATGATATTTTTACCACTGCTAGGAATATGTACCTTTGGCCATAATTGGGATTTTTATAAATGTGTTACTTGAATGCATGTTTTGTCAAGTAACATTATGAGATGTGAAGTTCACGCATTGTCCCCGCTAATTAGTTTATATATATTTGAAAACAATCAAGTCTCTATATCCGTATGAAATAATTAATAAATCTGGTTAACAAACGAGGCTAAAGAATCGACTGCATGGGCAGACATTTTTTTCTCCACACTATTTTAATAGTCACATACCGTGATTCTTTGGCGTACATACATTTTTAACCGACCTAGGGGGGTTCTGTTTTTAAATTTGTATTGTCCCCTGATGTCGAGCCGCTGGCAAAACAAGCTCTCAAATTCGGAACCAGGAAATAAGACACGTAGTTGGTACCATCCCAATCAGCCAGCAGGCTACAGGCCCTATAGCTCAACAACAAATTAATTGGTATATACGCCTGGTCAGAATGCATATCAAAATACCCGCTTTGCAAGCGTGAAAGGCAGGCGCTCTTGGATGGACTACACTTCAATGTATACAAGTGTCATTATAAATCTAGCTTCTATAGAGAACATCTACATTTTAATAGTTTTTTCAGCGAACTGTTATGACCACATAATGCTTATAACGCTTTATGACAATTTTTCCGCATACAAACCCGAGCAAAGCCGGGATTATTTGCTAGTTATAAATAAATTTAATATAATAGTTATTTTCTTTGAAGTTCAAGAGCGTGAAAAAAATGTTTCGTGGTCAAATTTATTAAGAAATTTAAGGGATAAATATTTCTCAACATCCAATCATGAAAGAAATGTTAACATTTATACATTGTTATTTTTTACTTTCAAAGTATGAATAATTTACAACATCAAAAAATATGCATTTCAAGGGCTGACAAAAAATTTCGTTATAACCACGTACATAAATTGTGTATCTGCCCAGGATATGAAGCCGACATATCTGTTTGTTCTTCACTGGACAAAGGTATATGATTTGAAAATTGCAGGTAGCAGAAAGTTACCTTTGAGATGCCCCCTGTCGTCCTTATGGTCTTTTTTCTAAATTAATATAATTGCTTGCTAACTGCAATCGCCCTGGAACAAAAAGGCAAGGGTAGTGGGAGATGGGAGGGGGGTGGGATCCGGAAAGGGGGGTGGGCGGATTCAGCAACTCTGCCACGACTTTAATCAAAAGACAGCACAAGTCAAGGGCTACTACTTAAGTCGAAGCCTTGATCATCTTGGCATGTTAAGGGCCAACAATAATAATAATAGTAATAACAATGGCGGAGTTACGATCCCGGCAATGATTTTGTTATCGCTTATTACAACCCTGATAAA